TGTGTGTGTGTGTGTGTGTGTTAAGTTTTTTGAGTTCTTTGTATATCCTGGAAATTAATGCTCCCTCTGAGGTGCAGATGGTAAACAAAGGCTCTTTGTTCAAGTTCTTGATTGTTTCCTTTGCTGAGAAGAAGCTATTTAGTTTAATACCATACCATTTATTGATTCTTGATCTTATTTCTTGTGCTTTATAAATTTTATTAAGTCAGTTCCTGAGCTGACATGATGGAGAGTTCAGCCTAGTTTTTCTTCTAGTAGATGCAGGGTCTCTGGTCTAATGCCTAGGTGAACGAAAACTTTTCCTATCAACCAGTGCCCTTTCAAGATGGATTGGGCTGCTTCTGAGATTGTAAAGAATTCAAACATCATAGGAAAAGAATGTCATATGGCTAGATGGCCATTAGAACAGAGGTTAATGGAGGAGAGTTAAGCCTCAGAATAGAGAGAAACCATATGACTTTGTAGTTTCTTTCTAAAGAAGAAACTCTTTGATCCTATAATAATAAAATCTGCTGTCAATACTAGTGTTTAATTGAAACTATTCAGTGTTTTTGTTGGAATTATAGCTGACTGTTTGCCAGTGAAGATTTTCATGATAGCAGAGGGGAAAAATGCAATGGAATCATAGTTGATAGGCAAAAACCATCTTTCCAAATGTCTGCCATTTCTTAATTCCTTACAGTCTATGCAGTAGGTCATGTGCTATTTGAGAGCAATGGACCACCAATCAAACATAAGTAACCCATGAGGTTGGCTTAATCCTAGTCATATTAAATGGATATTTTAATTAGATCAATTATGTAAGGGGAGAAAGTTTCATTAAAATAGGTCAGAGCATCTTAGTATACTTGAAGCAACTGGGACTCTTATTCCAGGCCCAAGTGACTTGCTAAGAGGAAYTGGGAACATGAGTATTTGGAAGAATCTGCATTATGGATATGAGAGTAGGTGATCTGAAGGGAAATGTTAAAAAAAAAAAAATCTTAGCTTCTCATGGTAGCAGAAGCCTAGCACACATTCTTCCAACTTTTGCAAAGATGGAATCTTCAGAAGAACCCCTATGACTTTATCAAACTTTCAACATGAACCCTGAGTTTTTTACTCTAGCTATAGCTTACCTGGGTCTACTTACCAAATTCTTGTCTTTCTCATCCCTGAATTCTATCTTCACTGTGCCAATTTCAAACCTTTCAGATGAACTAGTTTCTCCCAGTCTTTCATGCCTGCCCAACTCAGCCTGTCCTCTTCTCTGGTCTGTCCTCTCCCTACCAACTCCCATTTTTCTTCTTCCTTTGTTCTCTGAAATTATTGCCCTCTTGTCAAGAAAAATATTCCATCCTTTTCTAGAGCACTGAACCTGGAACCTTACCATGGATAAAATCAAGTTTCTTTGTTCTTTGCCTGTTTTGCAGTTCTCCCAAGGGTTCTCATTTAGCAACTTTCTTTCCTTGTAAACCATATCAAGTTATATCAATTCTTTGTATCACAAGAAGCATTACATCATAGGACKACATTCAGGTTCTGCCACAGATTGTTATAATCTGCTTTTTCAGGTCCATCTTGCACTAATCTTTACCACACATCCAGTTTTCTAGAAGCACTAGATGACTTACCCACTAAGCAGCAAATATAGGAGATACYCTTGTACCTGATATTCTTTCTTGGTATGCCTTCCCTTAATTCCTRTTTATACAGGATAAACTTATGCATATGTGGTCCCTCCTTTCTTAGTATTTTGAAAGCTCTTTAAATAAAATAAATAAAATAATCATGTTTATGTGCCTTCCCATTCCAAGGCTAGACCAATGCCTAGCATATAGRAGGTATCTCATAAATGCCAGGTCAAATGAATATAGTATGGCCTTCATGCAAATGAAGTTCTAAATTCTGTTGTAGAAACTTCTGAAGAGCGCAGCTTATCAACTCCCTTRGCCAATTTCTAGTCATGTTAAAAGGCTGGACTGGTCCAGAAGGCCTGAATGGTGGCCATATCTCTCTTCTCTTGTAACATTATACAAAAATGTGCAGAGGCAAGTCAGGATTATAGAAAGTCAGGATTACACAAATACAACATGCCTTACTCTGAGAGTAGATTGAAAGGCCCATTACCATAGAGCTTAATTTAGGCTCTCTTTGTTCCCACATTGTCTTGAGACTCTTGGAAAATAAACTTCAATTCCTCACTGTTCTTCAATAACACTGTTCAGCTAACATTTACTKATCTCTTAGTATGTATGATCTCCTAGGTGCTGGAGATGCAAACATGACCAAACAGAAAATCCCTATTTTTTTTCTTTTTATTTATTTTTTATTTGTTCTAATTAGTTATACATGATAGCAGAATGCATTTCAATTCACCGTATACAATGGAGCACAACTTTCTCTGGTTGTACACAATGTAGTRTTGCACCACATGTGCAGTTATACATGTACCTAGGGAATGATGTTCATCTCATTCCACCATCTTTCCTACCCCCATGCCCCCTCCCCTTCCCTCTCTCCCCTTTGCCCAATCAAAGTTCCTCCATTCTCCACACACACCCACTCCCATTACAGGTCAGCATCCACTTATCAGAGAGAACATTTGGCTTTGGTTTTTTGGGATTGGCTTATTTTACTTAACATGATATTCTCCAACTCCATCMATTTACCTGCAAATGCCATAACTTTATTCTCTTTTAATGCTGAGTAATATTTCATTGTGTATATGTAACATAGTTTTTTTTTTTTATCCATTCATCTCTTGAAAGGCATCTAGGTTGGTTCCACAGTTTAGCTATTGTGAACTGAGCTGCTATGAACATTGATGTGGCTGTATCATTATAGTATGCTGATTTTAAGTCCATTGAGTACAGACT